TGAAAAAAATGTTTAAAAAATTCTATCTGTCAAAAAATTTTGACATTTATTTTTTGACATTTGACATTTTTTTATATATATTTAATGATACTGATGATCTTGTATATGTTTTTTTACAATAAAAGCCACAAATAACATTGAACAGAGTTACAATTTAGGATACAGCTTCCTTGTTTTTTCTTTTAATAGCCTATAGCAAAAAAACTTGGAAAATTCTTTTTTCAACGGAAATAAATAGAGTCAAAGTCCAAACTTTAAACCCTCATAACTTCGAAATTTTTATAGATAATTTTTTTAACATTTTTTCCATGTTCCTGGTATCTTACCTTAAATGGCATTTTTCTCTGGGGCGCGAGTTCTGGAGCACCCTGTATAATGTATAAAATGTAGAAAATCATTTCGATTTTCTTTTGTACTATTTATTTAGATACATACTGGGTTAGAAAAACAACTTTTATGTACAGTTGCGGTCCTTGAAAACTAAGACATTCACTTTTGTTATACTGTTATTATAAAAATTTGTAAAGTGTAAATTGGGTTTTCATCAAAAATGACAATTTGAATTTTTCGGATTTGTATGGTGTTGCAATTAGTATATTATATCACAAGGTAGAGAAGAGATTTTTTAATAAAAATCTTCTCTACCGTGTTTTATATAACATTTTTTTCACTACTAGCACATTTATTACCCAGAAATACAACGGTGAAAAATATAACCTTTCTTATAGTCTCAGACGTAACGTGTTGTAATGCACAACTATTATTTTTATTAATTCAGTATTACTTACAGTAATTAATTACTTACCTAATTTATTAACTCAAAATTGTAAGTGATATTTTCTTCTTATCGCAAATGAGGTTATGTAATTTTTGTACTTCTGCAACTATTAAATGAATTTTCTTCATAATATGAAATATTTGTTAAAATAACGAAGAAACTGCAAAGAAAAGAGAAAAAGTGTTAAAATTTGCCTCACCACCGATAGTATTTTAACAAGAAATTAACCCACTTCTTGTTTTGACAATTTTGACATAATCAGAACGATTGAATTGGGATTATTCTGATGTTTTAATGAGAATATTTACGTTTTTTTTTTGATTTCTCATCAATTTCATCTCGAAATCTTTACGTTAGTACTTATGATGGTAATAGTTTTCAATAATAATATTCTATAAATATTTGTATCAATGTAATCCCCTCCAACATCGGCATTTATCCACTTTTTTTTACATTTTTTTTTACTTTTATTACAGCTAGAAGTGAAAAAAATATTAGGTATTTATGTCCACAAAATTTAAGATCATAAAGTTTTCTACTCCACGACATTGACTCGTAATTATATGAATGAAAGTTTTTTTCTTCAATTTTTAACCATAAATATCAATTTTTGATGACTGAGAATTAGTAACAAAAAATTACTGGCTTTTGGAATAAGAGTTTATGATTTTATCCTAGTGTTTTATAATTTAAGCATTTTGATTTATTGCTGCTCAACACATGACACTAACAATGAAAATCTACTTAAGTGCCTAAATAAGATAATTGATAATTGTATTTGCTTCTATTTATTAAGCAACTAACACGAGAGTGTGTGATTGCAATGAATGAAGAAACCGCCGTTGACAAATTTCTTTCAAACGAAAATGAAAACAAAGAAGAAAAACTGTCCAAGAAACGCTGGATAATCCTCACTTTATACATCCTATATGCCGCTATAAATGCCTTTCAGTGGTTCGAATACTCGATAATTGCCAATGTTGTAATGAAATTTTACAACATTAGTGCTGTTTCCGTTGACTGGACTTCAATAATTTACATGGCACTTTACATGCCAATGGTCATCCCAGCCTCCTATCTGATGGAGAAATTGGTTTGTGTACTTTTTATCCCATATTTTCCTCAATTTTTCTTTCAGGATTTACGCCAAATAGCAGTTATTGGAGTTTTGGGAACCGCCTTGGGCACAATTGTGAAAATTTACTCTCTTTCCCCCAATCAAATATGGGTGGTTTATCTGGGACAAACAATTCTTTCTTCCATGCAAGTGTTTATTTTACCATTGCCGCCTCGAATAGCTTCGGTTTGGTTTGGCCCTAAAGAAGTATATTCGTTGATTTAAATTTACTCCAATGTCCTGTTTTTTTTTAGGTGTCTTTGGCATGTGCATTGGGGGTTTTTGGAACACAGTTAGGTCAAGCCGTTGGGTTTGTTGTCCCCCCAATTGTGGTGAAATATGGCGAGGATGTGGACAGGATTGGACGGGATTTGGGGAGCTTGGTTAAAGGCTTAGCCTGGTTTACGTTGTTTGTAACCGTTGCTGTTTTGACATGTAATAATTTAATGTAATCTAGGGGATTTGTCATCCTTTTTGTAGATTTTCCAGCTCGACCTGCAACACCACCAAATATTATGAAAAGTGAAAAAATCGACTTTCTAAAATCCTTGAAAAATTTATTTTCAAATAGGAGTTTCGACTTTCATGTTGTTGCATTCGGGATTAATGTTGCTGTGTTCACCTCAGTTTCCACACTCCTGAATCAGTTTTTTTTGTTTCACTTTCCAGTAAGTAAAAAATTAAAAATTGTTTGTTTCTTCACAAAAAAATTAAGTGACGTTTTATTCCCTGTTGCTGTATGCTTATTCCGAGGGGCCGTTAACACTAGAATTCAACTTTAATTGCTCTTGGAATTATTAAAAATATCTTTGATTTGTTAAGAATTACTTGATTTTTATGAAATTACTAGATTAGAATTCTTTTTTGAATTATTGCAGATAATTAATTTAAGTTTCTTAGAACTACCGGAATTAATTTGGAATGATTTTAGAATTAAGAGTATTCAAATAAAGTTTGAGTTAAATAATTTGGAAATGTAGGAGATAATCTGATAACAATAGAATTACGATGGATTATTGGAATAACTAGAATTTCGGTAAATTACTAGAATTATTCGGTAAATTACTAGAATTATTCTGTAAATTACAGAAATTTTTCTAGAATTACTGAAATTCTTTTGAAATTAGAATTACGTTGAATTTCTTAAAACTATAATTTGGAATTGCAAAAATTATTTTGCAATTACAAAAATTAAGTTAGAATTACAGGAATTAATTTGGAATTATATAGACAAATAATAGTATTGTAAGGGATTATTAGAATTTCCGAAATTTCGGTGAATTTTTTTGGAATTAATGAAATTTCGGTGAGAGTTTGTAAGAACTATTTGATTTATTTGTGAATTACAAGAATTTTTCGGGAATTAATTTGATAACAATAGAATTACGATGGATTATTGGAATAACTGGAATTTCGGTAAATTTTTTAAATTACTAGAATTATTCTGTAAATTACAATTTTTTTTCTGAAATTACTAAAATTCTTTTCAAAATTAGGTTGAATTTCTTAAAACTATAATTTGGAATTACAAAAATGATTTTGGAATTACCAGAATTAAGAATTACAGGAATTAAATTGGAATTATATAGAAAAACAATAGTATTACAAGGGATTATTAGAATTTCTGAAATTTCGGTGAATTTTTTTGGAATTACTGAAAMTTCGGTGAAAGTTTCTTGGAATTAATTAGATCTACACATTTTTTTCAAGTTAACGGCCCCTTGGTTTATTCTTTGTAAAATAATTGTAATATTTACAAGTTTTTACATTTTCAGCATACCTAATCTTCAATGTCTTAATTTTTATCAAAAAATATTTATTGAAATTTATTTTAACAATTGTTCCTTTCCAAAAGAGAATAAAGTGACGACGTTTTATTCCAACACTGGAATTGAATTAATTTAATTTTTTGAGTGCTTTTTGAGATAAAAAAACTTCTTGATATCGATATCAATTTTGCCAAATTATTTGACCCCCTAAATCCCTCTTAGGTCGCCTTTGGTGTTACCTATATTCRCAGGATTTAATTAGTTGTTTTTTCCCTATTTTGTTCTTGGATTAAAAATTCATTTTTCATAGAATTCGGAGGAGGATGCTTTTTTGTGTTCTACAGGGCTCAATTTTTTTGTTCACCATATCACCTTGGTTTACCCTAATTTGGAATTACAAAAATTATTTTGGAARTACAAAAATTAAGTTAGATTTTCAGGAATTAATTTGGAACTATATAGAAAAACAATAGTATTACAAGGGATTATTAGAATTTTTGAAATTTCGGTGAATTTTTTTGGAATTACTGAAANAGGAATTAATTTGGAACTATATAGAAAAACAATAGTATTACAAGGGATTATTAGAATTTTTGAAATTTCGGTGAATTTTTTTGGAATTACTGAAATTTCGGTGAAAGTTTCCTGGAATTAATTAGATCTACACATTTTTTTCAAGTTAAGGGCCCTTTGGTTTATTCTTTGTGAAATAATTGTAATATTTACAAGTTTTCACATTTTCAGCATACCTAATCTTCAATGTCTTAATTTTTATCAAAAAATATTTATTGAAATTTATTTTAACAATTGTTTCTTTCCAAAAGAGAATAAAGTGACGACGTTTTATTCCAACACTGGAATTGAATTAATTTAATTTTTTGATTGTTTTTGAGATAAAAAAAACTTCTTGACATCGATATTCCTCTTAAAATTGCAGTTGAATGACAATTTTGACAAATTCTCGGGACTTAAATAATTGTTTTTTCCTTTTTTTTTTGAATTAAAAATTCATTTTTCATAGAATTCGGAGGAGGATGCTGGAAGAGTGGGTTTAATAATGGTGACTTTGGGCATGGTGGGGGCTATAATTTTTGGTTATGTTTTAGACAAGACACACTGTTACAAGTAATACAACGTATTTAACAATCACTCAGTATAAATTTCTCTTGTTTTTCAGGGAAACAGCACTATGTTTGAACGTAGCATCATTTTTGTCGATTATTGCTTTCATGTTTTCACTCAAATCGGCTTCAAAAATTTTGGTGTACATTTCCGGGGGTTCACTAGGGTAATGCATTGTGATTTTTCTTCACAAAAAATAACTAAACTCAATTTATAGACTATTCATAAATGCATATATGCCAGTGGGACTGGAATTAGCCATAGAACTGACTTATCCAGAGCCTGAAAGTACCACTTCTGGAATTTTGATCTCCATGACTCAGACATTGGGTGTTCTATTCACTTTATTGTTGGGTTTTTTATTTGCAAAATTTGGCAGTTTTTGGGGTTTGGCCACTATGGCCTTTAGTCTTTTTGTTGGATCTGTACTCACTGCGTTTATAACAAATGTAAAAAAACGACAAAATGCGTTAAAATAAAAAAAGCTATTTCACCTAGAGAAAGTTATAGGAGTGGCTTGATTGTGTGCACTAGATGGCGCAGCTTGTGCTATAAGTGTTTGAGTGCGTATCTCCTGTTGCCAAACAAGATATCATATGGTAGAATAAATGATACTCTTTGTTCTTCTACAAGTTGTGAACAACACAAATGTAGTTTTCGTTGCGTTCTGTGCGTTAATATCGTGTTAAAAAACAATGTGATAAGTGAACAAGGGTTGAATTTTATATTTTTTATTATGTAATTGTTTAGTTTGTTTTGAAACTTCTGTAAATAGAAATTTTTATTCGCTTTTAAAAAAATCATGGGTGAAGGAATATCAGGTAGGTACTCATAGAAATGATTGTTTTTTTTTTGATTTGTTATGCAAAGTATTGTTTCGTAACTTAATTCTAATTACATAATCGAAAATTTGTAAAGTAGGGCGATTAGTTTTTTCTTTTGTTAAAATTTTAATCGCTGATAAACAGGTCACTGATTACGTTTTAATAAACAATTATTTAATAATGTCAGTGATAGTAAATGTGATAATTTGAATTTCCGGTTTTATAACAATTCAATTTGAAATGCGCTTGTTGATGAGCATGCAAAAGATAGCCAATAAAAGTCAATAATCTCATGGAAGGTTGTCTCATTTATTAAATTCTTTGTTTCATTGGCTACAAAAGTGGCAGGTCTGTCTTTGTGAATCATTTTAGGTCTTGTTAACCTTTGCTTGTCGGTGATTGTCTTAAATTATCAAGAAAAATTTTGTTTTATTTATGATCTTGTATTTTAATTATTTACTTAACAATTAAAGCAGAGATAACGTAAAAATAAGAATGTTAAAGATCATAAGTTTTATTTAAAAAAAAATATTAGATATACCACCTACACGGAAAGACAATTCAAAGTTCTCCCATTCCGTCTTTAAAAATAGTGATAATTGATAAATAAGCCAACAAATCATTATTTTCTACGTTTTAATCATAAACAACTTGAAAACTTTACTTATCAGGTTGACTCACTTTAGTGGTGGTAGCAGAAACCTATAAATAATTTGTAAAAAATAAGGAATTTGAAAGTAGTTGCTTATGTACTAAGGGCAAAATAAGGAAATTATGGCCCGAGGGGATGTTTAAAGCCCGACGTTAGGAGGGCTTTTAATTTTCTGAGGGCTATAATCGGCAATTATGCCCGTGGTACATATTACGTTTTATTATCTTTTGCAAGTTTATACCTGGGACCAAAATACTGCATAATGTCATGACCTTTGATGTTTTTAATAGGTACTTTGTTAATTAGTTAACAATTACGATATTTTTTTTTTATTGTTGACACTTTGTTATCATAAACCTTGTCACTTTTGTAGACATGCATAAATCACTAGATAATCAAAAGGTCAACTATTTCTGATTTTTCGGTGGGCCAGCTTATATACAGGGTCTCTCAAGTAAAATTTACGTCTAAGTTTGTTTAAAATTCTAAATCAGGACAATTTTAACAAAAATTATTTATTTTCAGGATTTTTGAGCGATATATTTTCTAAATTGAATTGTTTTTTCATAATCACTTTTGTTTTCTCTTACAGTAATCTTAAATAAAATTGTTCAAAAAGAAATAACTATGAAATTTTAATGCAATTTGGTGTCCCTTTAAGTTAAAATTGACCTGTTTCAATATTTTTTCCAAATTTTGGCGAAATCGGTGATTTTGGGGGGCACAAATTTTATTTGGGATAGCCTGTATATTTTTAATATTTATGACAATAAAAATATTTAAAACAAAAATTAAAAAAAAAATCAACTTCGAGTCACGTTGTGGGATAAAATTTTATTCAAAGTGTTTTTTTTTACCGAAAGGCTTGGATCCTAGACTATGTAAGTCAATGAAAATGAGGGAACCAGAAGAATAAGTTTGCTTATATCCTCTCACGAAGATGATTTTTTTATGAAGTATCTATATTTGTTAATAAACATTTTTGAAATTATTATTTACCATTACCTCAGTTTTCAGAAGTTACTTTAAAGTTTTGTTTATCTTCAAAAATTAAATCATGCTCTTAAAAAAAT